GGGGGATCGCTTCACACTTTTAAACCCTAACCCGAGATCGTTCCTGCTCCTCCCCAGTTTTGAAGACAGGTTGGGCAAAAAAAGAATTAAGAGACGCGGGGGGGGGGGTCAGCAGTCCCAGGGAATGTTAATCAACCCTACCCTGGCCTGCAGGTTTTCCCCTGATTGTGCTCCCAGATCTCTGTCTGCCTGATGAGTATTTTCGAATCCGGGACGCTGGTCGATGACAAAATCGTCCTCTCTTAGATGTGCAGCAGGGCTTGGGTAGCAGCCCCTCGTTCCTGACGCCTCCCAGAGAACACCTTTGGAAGAATTCAGCTGCATATCCCACTGTAACCCCACCCTGCCTCGTCCCTGGTATTACACCGGGGATCCGCACTGAACACAGAAAGCCAAAACGTTTTCAGTTAGGAGTCTGTAGGAGGAGGCTCCAAACTCTGCAACTGATTCTCAGACCGCTTGGCCCGTGAAACGCACGCCTGGCACCGGGCATCCATCCCCTCCCCACAAATGCCGCCATAGGGCGAGGAGCCACAGCGTTTTTCAACACTGCCTTTGAAATCCGAGCACAGGCCTTAAAACAAGACCTTGCAAACAAAGTGATATTTCTTGGACTTCCTACTTCAGTTCACAGAAGCAAAAAAAATTATAATAACGAGATTGGCCTTTTTGCGGGCTGCTGCTGCAGCAGCATCACCGGCATGGTCGTGAGGCCCGGCCGGAGCGTCCCCCGGGGAGGTCCCTCTTCTACAGTCCTCCCCACCCTTGCCTTTTAAGGGTAAATTCGGGCCTTCAGTGTGACTCTTAGTATTTGCCATTTGCCCACTGTGACCACAAATGAGCTGTTGCCGTTCCAGGCAAGTTCATCACCTCCTGACCGAGCAGCGCTTTGGAGAGGAACGCGCCCGCCCTCTCAGAAAACTAGCCTCAGAGATCTAGGTAGCTTGGTGCGTGCGTGTGCATGCGCGTGAGTGAGTGAGTAAGCAATATTGTCTGTACAGTCCCACTGTGCGCCTCTGAGCACACAAACACAAGCATCAAAGCAGAGAAGACGGACATTTACGAGACCAAATTATGCTTTTTGACTGCTCAGTTGCCTAGTTTGTCACCCAGAAGGCAAAACTCTCTGAGCCTCTGCAGCAGCAGCAGACAAGCTGGGAGTGATCCAGCCAGCTCACCTGACAAACTTGCCTTGCTCTTGCAGGCCTGGAACCGGATTAATCAGTTTGGAAGAGGGTTTTGATATTTTGGGCCAGTTTGCAATTTCTTTCTCAAGCTCCTTTCTTATGGTTTTGTGAACCGCCTAGTTGGCCTGTTATGGACTTAAACGGCAGGGCACACAAAAGAAAAACAAATACATAGACACAGATAGGCCCCTACTTCATTGTACTTGTGTGCAATGTTCCCTCTAAGCTGAGTTAGTGTGAGCCAGCTCACAGTTTTTCAGCCTCCGGCTCACACATTTTTGTCTCGGCTCAGGAAGGAGGGCTCCAGAGCAAACTAATTTATGCAGTAGCCAAATCGCTCACTCACAACTTTAATACCGGTAGCTCACAAAGTAGAATTTTTGCTCACAAGACTCCATAGCTTAGAGGGAGCATTGCTTGTGTGTCCCTGCCCACGTATGAAAAACTAGCATGTCTGCGTGGACACTAAGAAGGGTGCTTGACACGCCAGGACTCGGATTTTGCGCAGTTGGGCACATGAAGAAACTCTGTACTGGCCTGGAGGATAAGGAGGGAGTGTTTCAGTGCTAAGAACGAGGATATGGGGAATGGTGTGAAAAGGTAAAAGGGCCTCGGTTTTTACTTGAACGAAGGGAGAGCGGGAAAGTGCAGAAAAGGAATTTGTAAACAAAAAGGAAAGGGACACTGTAAGCGTGGTTTGTTTTTTGCTTGCCAAGTCTGGGAGTGCTCTGTGCCGTCTGGATGGTAGGAGCGTGCCAGTTACGCCATCCGCAGGCCCTGAGATGAACCTCCTGACATTGTCCAGCGGCTGCCGCACATGCAGGGGGGGGCGGGGGGCAGCACAGGCTAAAAAAAGGAGAAAAGACTCCTGGCAATATTATTAGACGGAAACGGCACACACGCAAACGATGCCGGGACACACGAGGCGGTAACCACACAGGCCGCCCGATTTCACAGGGCAGAGATTTGCCTTTATCCAGGAAACGGGAGGGGGGGAAAGTAAAACAAAAGGGAAGCGAGGGCTCGGATGATCGAGCGCTTGACTCCTCGTGTGAAAACAAAATGGGGGAAAAAGTAGTGAGGAGCCGGGAGAGGAACGACCTGGGGACCAGGGCAGGCGCTTTTCATGACAACTTGCCGTGGCGAAAGGTAAACACCCTCCACCCGCCAGAGCCTGCCCAAAGTCGGCAGCAAATCGGGTGTCTCTGGGCAAAGGCTAAAAATTAACCAGGCGTTTCTGTTCCAACTTGAAAGCAAAGCAAAACAAAAAGGAGAGCCCAAGAGAAACACGAAAACAAAATTAAAGGCAAGCATGTTTGCCTGAAACGCATGTGTTGGGGGGGGGGGTAGGGGGAAGGCCACGGAGACAAAAGAAAATAAGAGGGTTCCTTATCATCTCGTCCATATCCCTTTTCCCTTGAGAAACTTGCTCCTGTTCGGGACAGCGGACAAGGAAAATGCAATGCGGTTGCTCTAACACTGCCATATGCCACTTAAACCAGCCAGCAGTTCCCATTTGTCTGTTTTGTTGGTGCAAGTCGCCAGCACATCGACCTGACCTGCGACACTGATCCAACGGAAGGAATTGGGGTGGGGGGGGGTGGATTAAGCAAAGAAGACAGAAAGCTCACCTGGAGGTAAACCTTTCTTAATTTCAGATCCTAACAAAATCACAAGCCCTTTTCATTCTTAGTAACCAGGCCTCTGTATACAGATACTCCCATTTGGTATCGTTCATCTTGGCGGGAAAAGGGGACTTGTTCCCTCCTAGGAAGTTGTGGGCATCGTAGGCAGGAGTGAGACAGGAAGTCACAAAAGGCCCCTTGCCAGGCGGGCACTTTCTGCAAACTCCTGAGCACGAAGGGGGGGTCATCCTAGCACATTCGGCAAGTTAGCAGATTTGTTAATGATGCATGGAAGGAAACACAGGGAGAGAGAAGAGACACGTTGGAAAAAAACCTACTGCCTTTAAAAATACACACACAAAGGGCGGGGGTGGGGGGAGGGAGGGAGGGAAACGACAAGCAGTATTGTTTTTTTCTTTGACCTACCAGGAGTGTGAACAAAATACGCCAAGTACAGATCCAGTTCTTTAATTGTGACTCCAATGTGGTGTGGCTGGACGCAGAGGCCTGGGTTTGAGCACTGTGGCGACTTGTACAGCCGCTCCCCGTCAGTACTTTCAAGAGGGATCCCTTTGAACAAGATGACCATAACTAGGTCCAGCCTCCAGACCTTGTCTGCCTGTCTCAGGCAGTCAATCCTGCGGATTTTGCCCTTCTGGTCTGGGTTGGAGAGGACGCAGCACGGGGCTTTCTTGCCAGTGATGGTCAAGACAAAGTCCTCGCGGAACTCTGGGCGGATGTCCTTGCGTAGCTTGGCCAGCAGCCGGGACGCCCATTTCTGCTTGATCTCGGGCTTCTCACCAAGTAACTCGTCTTTCACGGCGCGCTCCTCATCCTTTGACATCCGCTTCTCATGCTTCTTAAAGTACTTTCGCTTCCGAGCTTGCAGATTGAACCATGTGTAGGAAAAGGCACGAACATGAGGAAGAAGAGCTTCAATGAAGGGGTGGAATTCATCCTGAGGAAAGCGGGGTGAGAAGGAATGGGGCAAAAACAAAAGAAAGGGGGGGGAGAAATGTTAGAACACCAGGAAGGAAGAATCACCCTTCATATACTGAACTTCATCTGACGCCTCCCAAACAATCGCAAACTGCCAAGAATTACAGGAACAAACAGGCGAGCACCGAACGTGATCAACCGAACAACAAGATAAAACACAGCAGTGGAAAGGGGGTGTCGAGGAGGAAGAATATGGGGGGGGGGGTTGTTTCCAGACTGCAGTTAGATCAGAACTAATAATTTTTAACACAACATAAATCAACGGAAGTAAAATGTGACCACCCTTGACAATAAAAGTAATAAAGTTGGTTTGCAATGTTGGGCTTAGAAACAAAACTGGTTCAGATCCCCTTGCTGGGCAGAACGCTCTGGATAATTGTACCTAATCATGTAATTTTAGGGGGCTTCTTGTCTCTATCTTTAAATATATATATATATGTATAAAGATTCCCTCCCCCCAAGGCAAAAGCATCCAGGAAAAAAAGTCAAAAGTGGAAATAATTACCATTCCTCTGGCTCATCCCGGCGAAGCTAAGCCCCCGATTCAGAAATTCTGGGCTCAGAATTGCAGAGTGTGGAAAGGGGAGGATGTAGGGGCTGCGAGGGGGAAGCCGAAGGAGGGGAGAAGAAGGAGGAAAGTCGCAGTGTGAGAAGGAAGTCCCCCCAAAAAAAGTGCAGAATGTTTCCTAAATTAGACGGAAAACAATTGATGGCAGCACTCTCCACTTTGACCCGCTCGCAAAACTGTTTAGTCTTATTTAATAAAAATAATGGGAGAGCAAAAAAAGAAAGATTAGATAGGAAGAAACCAGGTTAGGAATGGGGGGGAGGAAATCAGCAAGGGACAAAAATAAATCAACATTCCCCCCCTCCGCCTTCGCACGCGCACACACACACAAATACAAAATAGGTCTAAGAATGCCAAATGTCTCTCTAAAAGAAAAAAAAACCCTATATGGAGGAACAAGGGGGGAAAAAATAAAAATCAGGAGAACAACAGCGACTGATCAGGTGGGGAAGTGGGGGGGGGGAAGAGCAGCTTTTTCAGCGTTGGCAGAAACGCAAAGATGCAACTTAAATGGGGCTCCCTCCGCCGGAGAACGGGGGTGACCGCGGGTCTAGGGGAAAAAGGGACCAGCTCCACTCTGGAATCAGCTGTGACCGGCTGCTGGCAGAACCCAACTGCTGGGTTGTGGGGGATTTGGTGGTGGTGGTTCCCCCCCCTTTTTTCCCCTTCCCTTTTTTCCTCTTAAACTCTCTTGTTCGCTGGCTTTCTCCTTTCATGCTCAGTCCCCAACCATTTGCCTGTGCCCGTGCCAGCAGGGAAAAAGAGAGAGAGAGAGAGAGAGAGAGAGAGAAGGATCCACCTATTTGGCAAGGAGACACACAGCGGAGCAGCCAATGGCTGCATCAAAGGGAAAAGGAGGTGGGGGGGGAGGTTGGCGGAGAAGGCATCAGGGAGGGGGTGGCACTGGGAGAGAAAAGAGCCGGTGCAGTTACGAGATTGGAAACAATTTGCCAAATCGTCAAGTTCATATCTAATGAATAAGCAAAGTCCAGCCGCAATGAAATTTTTATTGGCCGGCAGATTTTGGCAAGCAGGCGACTGGCACAATATTTTAAATAAATAAATATCTGAGCATCCCCCCCCCATCTTCCCTCCCTTCTCTCCCCCCACCCCAAGAGACAGTCCCATAGGGCCTTAGAAAAAGCAGCTGTTCTTTCCATCTCATTCTCTTTTTCCGTTGTTCCTCTCCCCGCAACTCCGAGTGCATAAAAGTCGGGGGGGGGGGGAGGAATGGCCTTCCCAAACTACAACTTCGGTGTAGACATAATGACGATTAAGCCTTTGTATAGGCAATGTCCACCTACATTATACATGACACCCCTACCCCCACGCCCAACGCATACAGATATTATTTCTTTGAAAGACCTTAGCATTGTCTTTCGCAGGCCTCAGCAAAGCTCTGCAAGCTGAAATGGGGGGGGGTGTTTGCGGGGGGCAGCACAGTTTTTATTGTGTACCTGCTCGCCATCTCGATCTTCCTCTCGCTTCAGTCCCTAACGATACGCCTTGCAGATTGGACGCAAGTGGACCGCTTCCCTGATGGAGTTATTCACGTCCAGCCCAACCGCTACCCTCCAACTATCCAACAAGGCAAAATTAACTGTTTGAAACCGTTCTCGGTTCAGAGCAACTATTTAAAATTTCCCAATTCTAACACTTCCACGGCCTGATTATTATTACTTACGCTACCTTTTTTTAACCAAAAGGGAATTTAAAAAGAAAAAGGCCTGGGATGAAAAATAAAGAACAAAGGCAGTAGAAAAATGATGTCGGTACACAAAATGAGGACTAGATAGCAGAGCCAAGGTACAGAAAGGGGAATGGAAGAGGAAATGCAAAAGGCTGAAATAGTAAGTGAAAATAAAGGTGTGGAAGAGCAACAGACAATGGAAGGCTAGAGTGAGAGGGCAAAGAAAAGGGCCGAGTCCTTTTGGTTTGACTCCTTGAGACTGCCGCTTTAAATATTTGGGCATTTGGAAAGGTACAGCTGAGCCAACAGTGGCCTTCTTCTCTGAGCCCCCCCCCCCCTCGTGTTCTTATCCATCCCCCCACCCCAATAACACCCAGCAGAGCAGAGTAAGAGAGATTCATTTGCAAAGCAATGGGGCTCCATTCCCTCCGAGGAAAACTTATCTATCTATGTATTTATCTCTACCTACATATCCCTTTGCATCACAGCCGCGTGCCTCGAAACATGATGTTGGTCGCGTGGTGGCAGCCCTCGAGGAGTCCACTGTGCCACCAATGGAGCGCAGGTGGCGATGAGCACAGAAACCAGGCCGACACTGAGCCTCTCCCAACTGCCCACGGCCTGCCCCACCCAGGGTTCGGGGCTCGCTTTCCCACCAGCCACTACCTCAGAGCTCTCAGGTTCATGCCCACGGGGATGGGTTGCACCACCACCCTGCACCCTAATTCCTTTTACTAAGATGGGGGCACGTTCACTGCTCCCCCGTTCCTTGCCCCCACCCTGTCAGCCAGAGCAACCTTAAAAGCAAGACACAGGACCTTCAGACTTTTTGCCATTCGTAAATATGCTGTCTGCTTGAGAAAATACACGGACTTCTTCCCCACCCCTCCGTGACCTTAGTGACAACCCCCCCCCCGGGGCCGCGAGACAAAGGTGATCTGTCCCTCGTAGTGTTAGGTAATACCTGAGCCGGCCCCTCCCCCTCCATCAGGCAGATTAAAGGAAAGTGCGCGGGCAGGCCGGCCGCTGAGGTGGAAGGGTTCCATCCAGACACAAAAGCTGGGGGATTATTTTTCTATCTCTGTGTCGAGAAGGGGGGGGAGGGTGTAAGTTGAAGCAGAAGAAAAGAGAGAAGGAGATAAAGGCGACAGTTAACCGCTCCCCTGCTCCCACTCCACCCACCTCCCAAAAAAACATTCCGAAAGTCCGTCGTGGAAATTTAAACTCCACGTCTCAAGCTCTCGCTTCCCTTGTCATGAGAATGTGCCCGCGCCCAGGTGTTTAGGCCTGGAATCCTTCCTTTGGAAAGACTGCCTTTCACTGGGAAAACGAAGCCGTTAAATCTAACAGCGCACATTAAGGAAACAAAGGTTTGTTGTGCGATTGTCAGATAATCTACATCCTAGGGACTGGAAAAGGTTTCCTGCAAAAAATAAATAAAAGGAAATTGTAGCAGGGTAAAATTAATTTAATCAACACTACATTTATAGACACTAAGTTTACAGGCACGAGGATCTGCAAAGACTAAGAAGGTGAAACCCAACGAAGAAAAACGTGAGGGGAAGAGAGCAGAAAACAACACAAAGAAAAATGACCCAACTATCCCTGCCATTAACATTCTCGTCCCCTTTGGTCAGAATCACAGGCCGGAACCTCAAAAGAATCCAAGACGGGGGCACCGCACTAAATCCCTCAATCCTGGATCTAGAGACTCCAGTAGGTGAAGGAGTAATAAACTATCACTGTGACCATCCTGCCCTTCTAACTGTCTTGGAGTCTTCGTAGTTTTGATTCAAAGCAGTATCTCCATATTGAACAACAGTGCCTAAGTATCTTGCAAAGGGGGTCATGATGCCCCTCAATCAGCTGGTTGGGCCCAGTTCGTAATGGGATAACAACAGCAGAAAAGCCAGGTTTGTTCTTTGGGCATTTTTGACACTCACTTGACATTTTGCATCTACGGGAATCTGTATATTAGCATCAGCATCTATGGAACTGAAAGATACAGCGTGAAAGCCATTATTATTGTAGTACCAGTGTTCCCTCTAAGCTGAGTTAGTGTGAGCTAGCTCACAGTTTCTTTAGCCTCCAGCTCACACATTTTTGTCTCAGCCCAGGAAGGATGGCTCCAGAGCAAACTAATTTTTGTAGTAGCCGAATCGCTCGCTCACAGCTTTAGTGCCAGTAGCTCACAAAGTAGAATTTTCATTCACAAGACTACACAGCTTAGAGGGAGCATTGTGTAGCACCGCTTCGCCCCCCCCCCCCAATGCCAACTCAGTACACTTGACAACAACCATACTTCTGCTATACTCCAGAGAAGCAAGTGAGGATACTGTTGGCGGGATTGGTCATTTAATAAGAAGAGCGATGTGCACGAAAGGCAAGAGAAACAAAGGACAGATCGTCAGCACTGGCCCCCACAGTGGCTGGTCGCAACAGGAACTCGTGAAAAACACGGAACCCTCTTGGGTTGTTTTTATGACCACAACAGAAAAACAACGGCCTGACTCGGCAGATCCATTCCATCTCTAGAACGTAGAAGATACACGGAGTTTCACACACACTCACTTTCTAGGATTCGGTCTACAAGGAGTGCTCCGTAGCCTCCATTCATGTCAGTGAGTCTTGCGGGGAAGGGAGAATCAATTCTTAAATGCGGACAGTTTGTTTCAACGAGTCCTACTGGTATCTAACGCAGAAAATGAAGGGTTTTTTAATTGCTTGATGGGGGCTTGTGTGTGTGTGTCTGTGTCTGACACATGTTATAAACTGCACAAATAAAATGGGAAATTTCAGCCACAAAACTCAACAAGCAGGGGATTGGTGAGGGACACAAGGGAGGCGAGTAGAAAATGCAGTAGGCCGTTTCTGGACAGCAAAATAAGAGGAAAGTACAGGGTTTTTTGGGGGGGAACCCAAGAAAGAAAACATGGAGGAGAACAGACACGCAAACCTCCGGGGGGGGGGGGGAAAAAAAGAAAGGGAGGGAAAAAAAGAAAATGTTTCTCGCTGCCTTACTTGGCCTCAGTCTACAGATCTGAGAATCCCTTTGCCCCCGAAATGAAAGGCATAACATACGTCTTCGGCCATCCCGTATATAGTGACCTGGAGAGTACAGAGCTGAAGGGCTTCTTAAGACCACTCTTTAAGAAAGAGTCTCTCTCTCTCTCTCTCTCTCTCTCTCTCTCTCTCTCTCTTCCATCCTTTCTTGTACATTACAGTCCCAAGGGCTGTGGACAATGGGGGCAGGTCCCCCAAAGCCTTGCAGAGGTTTATGAGTTTTAATGACTTCAAGTACAACTTTCCAACTCCAAGTCTAATTTTTATGTCTCTTCCTTTTTAGGAGAGTCTCTCTCTCTCTCTCTCTCTCTCTCTCTCTCTCTCTCTTTCACTTTCCCTCTTTCCCAGCCACTGGCTTTCCAGCTAAGGCTTTCTTTGGGTTGTCATAGAAACTGTCGGTAGCACCCTGGCAAACGACTTCCCCAGTGAATGAATAGTACATAAATGTCCACCCTCCGCAGGGCTAGCGAGACTTACGCTATATTAGCCCACGGCTTGCCCCTTCCGTTTCTTCCTCGCCCAGAGTGCCGAAATTAGAACGCTCTGGCTCGCAATGAATCAGGGGGACTTTCGGCCCAACTTGGCTGGGCTCCAGAGAGTGTGCGGGAAAACTGAAGGTGTGCGTCACGCTACTCCGTTATTATCGCGGGTTCCCAAAATAAGGACTTCACCCCAAAAAATGCTGTGATTTAAGAACACAGACTAGTAGAGGTTTATATTTGGGAAAAAACACACCCAATAGCAACAGGGATCCTGCGGAAAGAAAAGACTCCGGGAGAAGTGAAGAGCGGCGGCTTCAACCTGGGCACGGGCAACAAACCCCCTCGCGGTTGGTACCCGAAGCAGACAGAAGAGCTTCCTTCTCTCTCTCTCTCTCTCTCTCCTCTTTGGTAATCTGCTTTTCACCTTGTGCCTCCCTTTCTTCTAATCGGCCCAACCCACTCCCGAACAAGCATCGCAGGCTCCCTACTTAAGTTACCCTAAAATTAGATAGAATTTATTTTCACAATGTTAAGAAAGCTTGGCTCCCTCACGTCTCACACCCTCCTCCTTGCGTATGACTCAAAGGTGGTGGTGGGGGGAGATGCCGCAAAGACCAATTTAATTCCACGTTAACAGCTATACCAGTTTGATTCCCTTCTTCATTCTTCTGGGCTAACGCACAGTTGTCTGCTTGAAAAGTTTTTTCCCTCTCTGACCTGATTTAGCACAAACAAGGCAAAACTGTGCAGCAGACTCAACGTCGTAACGAACTTGAGTTAATTAATGCTAGGGAAGAAAGACGCTCCCCCTCAGCCTCTTGAATCATGGTTCACTAGCCAATTTTCTATTTAAAAAGGGAGGGGGGCGAAGCCGACATTCAAATATCTTTTTTCTCCTGTCTGAGCAGGGAAAATAAACAATACACAGAATGGTAGAAACCAGCAACATGGGACACATGTCGGCAAGGACCTGCTCGGTAAACCATCGGGATCGTTTCTTTTCCATTTTCCCTCTTTTTAAAAAATCTATACGCAGACAGAAGCGGTAGTGATAAATAAGTAAAAAGGTTTCAAAAGTTACAAACTGCTCCATAATTTAACATTGAACCAGGCATTTTAAATGAAAGGAAGAAAGTATCTGGAACTAATTGCTGACCGCAACAGTAGCTGCTCTCCCATTTTTACAATTATAAACCATAGAGGGAAACAGCTGAAATTTTGATTCCCAGGTTATGAATGCACTCCTGTCTTTGCTTCCGAAGCAGACACCGCCCCACCACACCACCACCTGGGTTCAGGCGGCAAGACTGAGAAGCTCACGGCTGGCAAACTTACTGGAAACGCCTGCCCAGTCTTCGAGCAGCCCTCGGTTCTCTGTCCAGCGGAAGAACATCTGGTAAAGACTGGCCTACAGGGCTTGACATCTCTGTCACTCCACAAGGACTCTAACTGCATCAAGAGCTCTTGCAAATGAATGCTCAAAAGGGAACGCTCACAGTTACAACTCATAATACTAGACCAGAGTTCCAGGGACGTTATTCGGGGTTAGACTCCACAGTCCTCGATGGCTCGTGGAGGTGTAAAACATATTGTTGTAAATATAAGGTGTGCCCAAAACCTAACAAACATAAAACTCTACCAAATTAGGTCAGGAACTGAGCCCAGCTGTGTTACACGGGAATCGTCTAGACATAACAGGAGAACGAAAATTGGTAGATATTTCAGATTGTATCATTACACCCATTCAGGTTTAACATTTTCAATACATTTAATGGTAGGGAGCATCTTTGTTAAGTCTCAAGAATTTCCCCCGTGTTTCCCCATATACCAGCTAT